AATAATAGAGGGTGTCAGCGACAGCCGATAACTCGTACTCGAGTACGAGACAGATCTTCTGTCTCTCTCCTCTGTATCCTGAATATCCTGGCTGATATATCCTGCGGCTATATCACCTGCACATATCGGCGGCTACATCACCTTGCACAGCTCATGTGTACCCCTCTCTCTCAAAGTGGAGGACAGCAAATTTTAGCTTGTAACAAGATTTCAAATTCGTACGAGTATGCAGCTCGGCATCTAGCAAAGCTTTGGCTCGACGTCAGCAAGCTAGGAACTCATCAAGATATTGAAATTCAAGACTGCGATGATTTTCGTGACTGGCTTGAAAACCCTTGGGAAGTATTGTGGAGACATCGGGCTTTCCCCAAGCACTTGCTTGCCGTCGAAAATATTCTGTTTGATAGCTCAACCTCAATAATAGCGACTGCAACTTGTCACACAGCCCGAACAATCGTAAGAATGCGAGAATTGGGTGTGTCTCTCAGCTCAGCACTCAATCTTAATCTCACGGATTTACAAGCGTATCACTTACGATCATCGTTGTGTCCCGTGTCGGCGAACGTCTGTCCCGAACCATATGGTTTATCACAATCAATCGTAATGTTCCTCAGGTGTGCCGTAAAATTAATTTCTGAAAGTATGGCAATCTCTGCAGTCATAAAAGCTCTTGAAAATAGAGTACACTGCTCAAAGTTCCGAGCGCTTGGGAACCCGACTCTGAATGAAGATAGTGCCGAATTTGGTTGGTTTCCAACATGCGACATACAAACAGACACACTTCCCACCAGACGCATTGTATCTATTGCTGCTTTAGAAAGGACTCTCATTATGGTGCGGAGCACTACGATGCGCATCAGAGCTCTTGTTCGTGGACTCTGGGCAACAAGAGCAGTGAAAAACGCAGTAGCAAGACACACACATACATTTGCAAGCTTGCAATTTTCTTTAACATCTCGCCAAGCAAGTTCACACGTCGCACCCTCCTATTGCTTACTTTTAGCCTTGGCGTCTGAAGTGTCACTATCACGGCGGGGTCGTTCTCCAAACGCAACGCGCCGAGAGAATCTGGTACCAGAGCCATGCGGCTTGAGTGACCTTGTCGTAGATAACGCCGATCGAACGTATGCTAAACGCATGCAGCGGCTTTGGGCGCGCAAAGCTTGGTCGGCAATCTCAAAAACGATTGCAACGCTCACTTCCTCTCTGCAAACAGACTCTATTATCGACTTGGAAATACACAACATGTCTTCTCCTCTTGTTGCATCAATTTTTGATACAGATCAATGTTTTGACATGCTTCATGATGTACAATCGCTACTCACGAGAACCGCTGCAGCGGGAACCCTCGCCGACTCAGCTTTGACAACTTATAAGCTGAGTGTGGCCAGAGACGCATATTGCACCTTGGCACAAACCAGATGGCACTTTGATGACGCTACCTTGAGCTTCGATGCGGTTCTGGAGACAGCCTTGCTGCGATGTATTTCCAGAGCTGCGGGTCCTGACCAGGAGCAGCTGGATCGATCGAAGGCTCAAGCCAATATGTTGGATACAATATACTTTAAGGAGCATAGCATGCAAGCATCCGTGTGCTTCCGCTTTGGAAAGATTGAGGTCGCCAAGCCGGTTTTTGACACATGCTTGCTTGAGAGCTCATGCCTAGCAGACCACGTCAAATATCAGGTTCACAACCGTCGTGAGCTTTGTGCGTCTGCGCTATTAAAGCGCACCAAGGTAAGCCCAGGCTCCTTGAAATGCACTTGGAAATTTGCCAGCGCCCATGAAAGCATATCTGTGGCTGTGTTGGGCTTAGCCCTTGGATTGCTACATGGATCGATCCACCCTTCGCATCACTTTCAAAGAGACTCACAATTTCAGCCCCTGGCCATCTTCGTCGAGAGTACGGTGCAGAACTTAATGTTTCCACAATTAGGCAAAGAGGTGCATCGAATAGTCGGGGTTGCCGACAGCTCAAATGATCCAATGTCAGCCTACCCTTTCAAGCCCAACATAGAATGTACAAGTCACAATGAATCTTCTTCCCTGCGTACCACGCTAGGGGAGATCGAAACTTCAATTGAAGTTAACTTGCAGCGTCAAATGATCGAGCATTTCATCTCGAGGGAAGAAAAATCGAGTCCATGTCGATCACATGCTGGAGCAGTTCCTGGATTGGTTCGGAAAACTATGCTGGCACACCTCTGCGATGAGCGAGCACAATGGTCTACCGCTCTTCACGATATCCCAGCTAGGATGAAAGTGTTCATCGGTGGAGCTTCATTCAAGCTCCGTCGCAAGAGCCGGGCTAATTCATGGCGTCTTGCAGAACGGGAAATTTCTCTATCCACGTTTGAGTTCTCGCAAATCAGCATGCGCAGCATTGCTGCCACAAACATGAATTTGACGCACGACTTATTGTTGTCGTTATGCGGGCAACCAAGCACCAAGATGCCCGTCCATGCATCTGGACGTCACGAGCAAAGACGCCCCCCACTTCCAAAAGCCAGAGTTCTGCTTGAGCATCGAGAACAAGTACGCACCCCATGTGAGCTCTTGGACAAGGTAAATTCTGAGAAATTAGTAGCTGCATTTTTAGTTATTGATGTTTGTGCAGGTTCGTGCTGTTTTGGAAGGTCTGCACGATCGCAGATTGCTCAGCAGAGCAACGGGGTCAGTCTTAATGATGGCAAAGAATATCGCAAATAGTCACCACGCGCTTTGCGGACTAAGAGTAGATAGCGCATTGCACGTTCTACCTCCGGCGATAGCACAAACGAGCGTGCTCTCAAAATCATCTTATTTGCCCTTCGGTTGGCACAAAATGACAACGAATGCTGCTCACAGTACAGTTCCATTTGCTCTAGACGCCCTTGGGACAGTGCTCGTACTCAAGTCTTGCTTCTCTCAACAAACTTTGCACTTGTTAGACCCGCTGGCCTTGGCTCTCGATGTGAAGCACACAGAAATGTGGTCTAAGATTGCAAATTCTGCGTCTATGCTATCTATAACTCTTGAACCTACCAGGCGGATGGCATTTGTGCAAAGCTGTTGGCAAATGTGGCAAACCGTTATTGGAGAGCTTTCTGTGGTAGGTCAGAGACGGGCTCTTAGAGATGACCATTGCATAAGCCCAGAGACTCACGAAATGACCTTGCAGTCTTGTGGGACTTTGAGTGCCACACTAAAATGTTTGAAGACTGTTCCTAGCGCCTTAACTTGTAGTGTCATGCGGCAAACCTGTTGGCTTCGAGAAAGCCACTTGAGAGCCAATATTTTGATTTTAGGGCGATTTGCGTTATTGAAGGCTGTGTCAGTCTGTGGTCGGGCGACGAAGGTCGCGTTCCGTGCTCTGGCAGTTAGAATGTTGCAATCCAGAATTGATGATGGGCGCATAAATTCAGGGCGTTTGTCCCGATCCGGTGAACAGCTGTGCAGCGAGAACCTTCGGCTCAGTAGGCAACTCGCGCTGCTTGACTTTTCTTTGATCCGTGACACAACAACCTCGCTTGTATTGGAGATCTTAGTTGTGCATACGTCTTTTGCGTTGGTCATACTCCACGATGCACAGGTGCATGCCATAGAGGATTATTTTAGATAAGATCAAAACCACAGGAATCTAAAAATTTGAATTTATGCAGTCAAGCCATAGAAGGACTAACTCTTGCCACGGCAGTCTGTGCGAAGCTATGCATATCAGGTGACGCTGTTGGGAGCAGTAAACTCTGGCTGCGGTTTGCAATGTCGCAAGCCCCAGCTTCTGCTTTCTTAGATCAAATTATCAAAAAGCGCATCGAAATTGGCTTGCGCAGCGATGGACTACCTCTTGCCTGGACCAAGCTTGATGCATTTGAGTGGATGTCGACGAACAATTCTGTACACTGTGGCGATGGCGCGGGGGAGATCCCTGTGCGGGGGAGAATCAGTGACATCAGTCGCTCCCAGGTCAGCCTCCTTCAGCACACATGCACTGCGATAATCACGGAAAGCAAGGCTAAATACGGTGGTATATCTGCTCATACTGCCCGCTTATTGGAGGCGGCCAAAAGCAGAATGCCGGTAGCTTCAAGCACTCGAAGCCAGCGGCTACCATCCTAGCGCTTGATCAAATGTCCTAGCGCTGGAGGAAACCCGGCCGAGAATCCCTATGTTTGGGCAAGCGCATACAAATGCAGGAACGCTTCAGTGTTTGTCCGTGGAAATATTCTGAAAGGACCATGCTCCTTCGTTCAACGTACAATTGTTAAGAGCTCCTCAAAGAATTGTCAAAGAACTCCTCGCCTCAAGATGGTGCCCCCCAATGCGCGCATTCCTACCAGGGCACCACACAATAAATACTAAGAAGGCTGAGCAAGCTTAGCAGGGGAAGCTCAGTGTGCTACCTTAAGGTAGCTCAGTCATCAAATTGTCACACGGTAACTGCCATCTCCCCTCAAGCAGACCTTAGGTCCGACATCATGCTGCCAAGAAAGGCACCCCTGGCAAAAGCCCACAATAGCGTCAAAGAGCACGCCACCAAAATTTTGGGAACTATCTTAGGTGGTGAGGTCCAGCAAGGCTGGGTCTTCTTGTGCACTGAAGAGGCCCAGGACACCTTGGGGACGTATACGAGCCCCCTAGCTGCGGCCCCAAAGCACAATCTCGACGGTACGGTATCTAAAAAGGTCCTCATCATCCATGACTTGAGCTCAGGGAAGAAGTTCGTGCGCTGGGCTCAGACCGCGGACCCCCTTGAGGGAGGAGTTTACTCTGCTTCCTTTAGCTCAGGCTAGTGGGAGATACGAAAGGCCAAGTGGACGGAAACTTAAATTAAAGCAAACGAATCGAGCAACCTCAAATCAAATGAATGGCTTCGACCGGGCCGGCGGCTCGCGAAGCGAGCCGGTCGGCCGTAGGCCGGCTCGTGAAGGCTAAAACACATGCCTTTGCGGCGGCCGCAAGCTTTATTCGCTAATATGTCGTGACAAAGCCAAACTGATCCTTACATCTTTGTCTCTACCAGGGATAAATATTGGTTCCATCACGCCTTTCGCGCCCGGGTAAGGAGTTCCCCAGGGAATTACATGTAAGAATTTCCGCCGGCTACGGGTCCGTAAAAAATTCCGCTGGTTCGGAAGTGTTGCGTGCGTCAAAAAAGAAATTCTCTGTCCACCAGCACCAATATGGTCAGAGGTACTCCAGTAAATGCCGTAATTGAAATGTACGACAAGTACGGGACGAGGGTAGGAGTGGCGTTTGTTGGGTTTTACCGTACGAAAAAATGCTCGTAGATTCTCACCAAAACCAAAATCAAACAAATGAGGAGGACCTTTGGGACTGGTCTACTATCACACATCTGAGAGAGTCTGATGTCGTAATGAAAGCAAAACTACGGGCAGCGGCTGGTTTCACTGGTAGACGTGACGCCTCGGGCATGAATTTAACTGCATATATGTTGTTGCATCAGAAGGTCGAAGTGGCACAACAATGTTGGCATCGATGCTTGACAGTCGCGACATTGTTTCAAACTTCGGAGCTCTCAATAAAACTTTGGAGAAAGTCGAAGCAGGCTCCTACCTAGCCGGTCCCATGCTTGCTGGTGTTCCGCCGGACGAAAGATAAATCCAAGTGTATGGGCTATAGCAAGTTCGTACAACCACAGCACCACAGCATGCAAGAAACAGAAGATCAGCCACCATGGTTTTAAAAATCTGTGCAGACTCTGATGACTCTCAGGACGAGGACGAGGACGAGGCCGGACACGAGTCGGATTCGTACGATTTCGACGCAAATCCAAAGCCCACTAGAGAGACCGAACGGCAACAACACCTAACGAGGGTGCAGCCTGGGCAACAACACCTAACGGGGGTGCAGCCTGGTTAGGCTGCCCTACGTCTTTACTTAACTCAGCCGTACCCAGGTAAAAAACTTGCGGGGGTAAAGCGGGGGGGGGGGGGGGGAGGGGGGGCGAGGGGGCGATATTCTCGCGGATACCCCCGAAATCGCCGCCCGAACTTGACATAAGAATCGTGTCCAAATCTTACGCCCCGCCCCGACCCTGCGTGAGGGGGGAGGGGGACGGCACCTTGATAGACATGTCGGTCTACGAACCTCACGCACGGTAGTCCCTGCAGGTGGGGGATACAAAACTATTGCTGGCCTGCACTACATGTATCATAATCAAGGGATGGCGCCGCCCCTGCGTGGGCATCGCGTCAGTCTCCAAAAAATGTTTGCGTGCTTTGTAGTCTTGTTTATGACGTCATGGTATCGCGCACACTACCACTGGACCACTCTCCGTCTTTCAGTGCTCGAGCTTCAAAGTACGCTGTCCGGTTTCGAACGAAGACATGCACTAAAGATCACTGCCGTTAAAGGTAAACTATTACAGTATGAAGAAGAGCTCGCTTCTTGGAAGTCTCGTTACAGAACACTAGAGTTGCACTCAATGGAACAGCTTCTGAAAGCTGCAAATGAGCTCAACCTGTCTGAGGGGGCAGCAAAATCCAGTACCAATTCTATGGAAGGTGTGAGTCGTCAAGGTGGGACCAAAAAACCATCGCAGATCGGGAATCAATACGCACCTAAGACTGCGGAAGTCTTGAAGCGCGGTGCATTTCTAGCACTCGGTGCATGCTCTGCAGGAGAAGCACAGCTGTGTCGCAACGCAGTTGAATTCCCTACACAGCCCGCGAAAGAATCGCGGGATGGAAAGGTAAGTTTTATTAACGCAAGTTTGCGCTTTACTCTAGTGGAAGCCTTGAAACAGACGGTGGATGGGACTCGAGGCGCGCTCAGAGAAGCTCGCCATACTTTTACACCGCGTCCAGACAATCATACGCTGCAAAGATGTGCATCCCAATTCAATAAACCGCCGCCACTATCAGCACAGCTACGTGCTTTTGCAGAGCATGTTTGGGCGCTGGGATCAGAACGGCGAATCGCTTACTCTGTGGTAGACTACCACTATCGGAGGGGCGTGGCTGATGTTGCTCTCAACTACAAGAGTGCCTGCGATGTCACTTCGTTTCTCTGCGTTGCACTAGACCTCAAGACGGCGGTCCATGCATGCGCCCTGGGCCTCGATGCCGTCCTCTACACCGCGAATAAAGCGGAAATTGAGGGAATTGTAAAAAAACGCCAGGTACACCAGCCCCTCAGCTGCGATTCTTAAGAATATGATAACAGCAGCTAGAGCTTCGCGCACGCAATAATTGCCAGTCTCGTCTACGCGGGAAGGAGGGCCATGGAGGGCAGTTAGATGCGGGGAAATATGCCATACTGGGCACTGGCAGAGGTGCAGGGATTGGCGCGCCCCGACAGGGGGGGGGGCGAGAGTCTGCCGCGCCTCCGTCGCGCGCCCGAAGCCACCCTTTGAGGGGGGTAAGTGGCGCCCTCGGCTGTTTCGGCGCCCTCGGGACGAGGGTCGCCCCCCCTCAGCCGACGCCCCCCGGCCCTCGGACGGCGAAATCGGCGACCTCGCACGAGGACTCGGCCATGCGCCTGGAGCGCACCCAGGAAAATCTTCTCCTATCCAGCCAGCCCTATTCTTCTCCTCGGGGTCCCAGGCTAGGCTAGTCCCCGGGCTGGGTGGAGCCCATGTTGACGACACACCCAGCTCCTAATCCAGCTATTCTTCTTCTTCTTCTTCTATATCATTCCTTAATATTTACTCTCAACTTTCCTGGCTAATCGAAGATTACCTGCAAAGTACGTTAATGCCAGTTTCGAAACTTCCACGACGGTTCACCGCAAGCGCGGCTGCATTTTCGCTAGAGGAAAACGATAATGGAGCGCAACCGGAAACCATCAACGGGCGGGCGGTACGGGAAACTGGGAACCCTCGCGTCTAAACAGCATCGCAAGTTCCACCAATGGGTGAAGCGTAAGGTGCGCGTTTGGCTTGTTGGCGGCAGTGTGGCTCAATGATTGTTTTGCTAGGACAATTTTGAGCGCGGCTGCAAACTTCTTGCACAGTTAGACCAGCAGCGGTGGGACAACGATGAGAGTTTCAGGAATCTGGTTGTGGCATTGACAGCGATTGATCGGAGCATGCTCGATGAAGAAGAGAACAGCGGCGATGAGCGCGAAGCTTGTATTGAGGGTGGCCGCCCCCCAGTTCGGACCGGTGCGCCGCCACTCGACGGGAACCGTGGCGCGTCCAAGTCAATTTTTGAAATTTTCCGGAAGGAGGCTCTCAGTAAGCGTACGTTCACGGACGTAGTAATTACAGCAGCAGAGGAGCGAAATCTTTCTGAGGCCCTGACGCAGCAGTTGACCAAGGACAATGATGGTAGACTATTCCTTCCAACGTTACGCTTCACAAAGCCCTCAAAACCGCACAACAAGAGTGTGATGCCAAAGCCGTTGAGTGCAGACCAGTTGTACCAAAACAAGCTTTTCGTGAAACAATGTCGAATCACGTGGAAGCGCGCTCAGAGAGAGATGCATTCGAAGCTCGGCGCACACCTGGAGAAAGTGAGTGCGGTCGTGGCAGTCGGGGATCGGGCAAAGGTCACAGCGACGGGCCTGTGGCAAATAGGCGTGAATCAGCTAGCTAAGTGGAGCGAAGAGGATGAGGAGGCAAAACGGCAAACGGCAAAGGAGGATCAGCTCGAGAGAGAAGACCGCGCCAAAATCACTCATGCAGGCTTCGTGAAGCGTAAAGATCGCCAACTCATCAGGGTCCCACAAGTCGAAGCACACAAGCCACCACCATCTGCTCCTCGCTTTGATCTTTCTAATTGTCC